GTCGTATGAAATGCCCCTCTAGCCAAAGAATTTATTTCTAATGAATACTCCCAGTAAGCAAAACCGCCAGATCGCAACGCGTAGTTCCCTGCATGCTGCACTCACCTCCCAAAAATCCTTGTTTATGAAATGCCCCTCTAGCCAAAGGACGAATTTCTAATGAATACTCCCAGTAAGCAAAACCGCCAGATCGCAACGCGTAGTTCCCTGCATGCTGCACTCACCTCCCAAAATAAAATCCTTGTTTATCTGTCGCACTTTGCCGCCATTGCGTTGAATAATCACGATTCATCTTGAACTGTTCAAACTAAACTACAGAGGACCAGCAGAAGCGTACTAATAATGGTGGCCTGCGTGTACCGGCCTGGTTGGCGGAGTTAAATAGCCAACCACACTAGCCTGTGGATACGGTCAGTATCGCATAATCAGCAGAGGCGCAGTGTGCTTAACAGGTAGAAACCGCAGGGGTGTTCGTTTCAATTTCATCATGGATGTTGACTGCGAGGAGTGGAGAGCGACTTGGTTGTCTTAACTTGTGCATTTGGAGGCGCGTTCATCTAATAGGATACCGCTTAGTTGGATGTAATCTCCACCTCGGCTGGCGGAATGTACGCCCCACTTTTTCGTTGTTTTTAGTAATCGAACTTTACTTCAGGAGGAAGCTACGTAGTTACCTTTTAACTCACAGTGTGCTACGCCACGCTTTGGTTGCAAAGTAAAAAGTCTTGCATTCCAAACTTAGCTGCCGAAAGTTGTTCACCGGAGCTCATATTTGCGTTATGGCTTTAAATAAATGTGCCTAAAACGTGTAACTGGCTACCGACACGTACGCCTACGACTGTCTGTCTCAGGCACCTAGGCTTACCAAACAAGGGCATTTCTTTGGTATTCCTACTTCCATTTTACCTGTTTTCCCCTCAACAAATAACATTATCGACCAAAACGCTTTTTACTTTAGCATTCCCCTGAAGCTACTGTACTTCAGAGCAAACAAGCTATGGTCATGGAAGAAGCAGGACCGGCAGCCACTTCTACAGCTGACCTTCTTGCACCTGAAGAGGTCTTCGCACCTCGCGGTGAAGTACTAAAAGGTGCAACAGAACTGACGTCGACGGATAGGCGAAGGCACCGCAAAAAGCTTATGCGAATACGCTCCACACGTCGAAAACTCAAAACTGCCGATCCCACGAAAAACAAGGAGGCAGCCCTGCAGAAGATCATCCGGCTGGCCCACAAGCCGGGTTCTAACATCAAGATTGTATAGTTTATCCATGTTTTCACCTGTAAATACAAAACCAATCCTTCAGTTACTCAGTGTCGTTCATTCTTAGCGTGAATATTCTAGTGTAAAAATGAATTGGAAATGCATTGTCTACTAGATTGCCCGGGAAGGGTTGCACTACTAAGTCGACTGCAAAAAATAGCCCACACTTTCTCCTCCTCGAGGACATGTCACTCAAAGTCGACGTGCACTTGTATGCTAAACATCCCGTGCATACTTGCTTTAAATTCTCTTAGGTATAGAAAGATTCGGAGAAAAATAGGTTAATTGATCTTATTTTAAATGAATCCGCGAATAGCGGTGGTAACATTCGCTACCTGTTATGATTTACCAAGGCCACTGTACTGGAAATGTGCTTCTGGATGAATTTCGTGCGTCTGGTCGCTAATATTTCTATGGCTGGCTGATACCACCATCACCACACCTGTACGCCACAAAACATCTGGAAGCCCCCATGCACCTGTTTGTTGTTTACTCGGGTACGAGGTTCCCAAATCACTTCATACTTGCGGATGAACTGATTGAGGTAGTAGACAAATTTATTTACCTGGGCAGCTGTATCAGTCCCGGTGGTCTCACGAAACATGAAATTTCCATCCGGATTGGGAAGGCCAGAGCAGCTTTTGCGAACCTGCGTCACCTGTGGCGTAGGCGTGACATCAACCTCTCTGTCAAGGGTCGAGTTTATAATGCTGCGGTGCGTTCTATATTACTGTATGGATCAGAAACCTGGCCGCTGCGCGCCAAGGACGTCAAAAGACTTTCAGTGTTTGACCATCGATGTCTTCGGAGCATTGCCCGAATCTGGTGGGAACACCGGATCAGCAA